AACTATCTTAAGGCTATAGAGCATATGTGAAAAAAATAGTTTTAGAGTAAAATGAAGTTCCACCAAACTAGTCTGAATGATGAGCTGTTAAACTGTAAGAAGTGGCTGTTTGTCATACTTATATCATGATTTTTATATTACCACAATATAGATAACTTGTAAAAGAAACATTATCATAATAAAGCTATGGCCAATATTTTTTATCTTTAATACACAAATGATGTTAAAATGTTATATCATAAAATATACATTTTAACACATGACTTTAGAGTAAATACTTGCAATAAATGCTCTACGAGAAAAAGTGACGATTTCTGGACATGGTAAAAAAATCCTCAATTTTATTGATCCCTTTTTTTATTAATGATATAGAGCAGAGTAACTGAAATTTTTTCGACTCTCGGTGTCCCTTTTCGTCTAAATTTAAGCCATGGTATCATACCAAAGTCAAAGTATGACAAAGTATAAGTAAAAAAATAAACTCTTAAAAAATTCCACTGCGCCTCTGCAAAGAATGCGAAGCTCCCAGGGAACAGTTCAGAAAACCCGGACATAGTTGTTACGCTTCGGCTTCACTTACCTGCAAATCCACAAATTGCCAGCAAATTGGGGTGGGGAGAAAAGAAAGCTTTTACTGGTATTTTTTCAGCCCATTTTACTTGAAAATCTGGTGATTGGTTAATAGATTCACGTGCTTTTTCAATGGTTACCGCGAGAAAAAAAGAAACCAAAAAAATTAGCTGTAATAAACGTCATCCCCATGGCAACCACATCACCAAACGTTAGAAGTCAAGGTAACCATATTGTAATGCTATCGCCAAATTTGGCGAATATAAACACCAATTTGGTGCTTAGCACACCTACATGAAATTAGCGCCGAAAATATCTCGTTTCAAAGCTTTTATTTTGCTACGAATTTGTGGAACTGCCGGAGCATATCCATTTTTTTTTTGAATTCGTCACAAATTTTTTATACATTTCCGAATCTCGGACAGTTCCACCAAGTTTTTGTTGTATTTTTTGATTTCCCCAGATGTGTTAATTAAAGCTCTTATTTCTCCAGAGGATCAACGTGCACAATCAATAACAGCAACCATCTTTGATTAAACGAAATCTCAGTCACAATGCATCATGGGAAAATTTGAAAACGAACTCGCTTTTCTCCACATTTACTCTGCTCCAAAGCGGGAACGAAAAATCAAACCCACTTTTCAAACCAATATAATGCTGGATCATAGTGTAAATGGGTCTAGAGAGGATCAATGCCGGTATTTTTCCGGCAATTACTTTCCATGCTTACATGTTAACATCTACCTTACATGCTTACATTCAGCCCTTTGCCGCGCTGAATTTCGTAGGCCTTGATCTAACACTGTGTGTGTGTTAGACATGGGGATTAACAGCAACAACAAAACAACATTATCCATTAAGAAAAATTTCGACTTAGTCCAGGTCGGATTTTCATCAGGTCAGGATTTTCATCATTTTAGATCGTTTTAATGCAACATACTTATAAATTTGGTTCACTTTTTTTCATTGAATCAATTCTTTACCATTGATTTTGGAAAATTATGTTGAACAATTTTGTCGAAAAATGCAATTATATATACATATAAAGAATAAATGAATGCAAAAAATTACAAACAAAATATTTAAAAAAAAATACAATACCGTATCATTAATACACCTTGTTTGAATTCTAAAACATTTATGGTTTGCATGGTATCTGAAAAGGAAGAAAATTAGGAAAACAGATGAAATATTTATGCATGCATGAATTTGTGTGATTTGAAAAATAATTTTGGGGGAATGGATTTAGTCTTTACCAATTTTTAAATAGATTTTGAATCTCTGAACTTCTTTAAATGACATGGTGAATAATAAGTTACTTCTCTGACTTCCACACGAAACTCTATGCATCATTTAAGGCAAAGTTCAATGGAATATGCATACCCTACGATATTTCACGATGTAAAGCATAGGATGATTTAGGAAACTTATGGAACGACTCGGAACTCAGAGTGAGTGTACATTGAATTATAATTTTGACTTAATATCATTTTTACATAACAAGTTGTTCCTCTTCATTTTAAAAAATGGTCACTGCAGAATAATTGTAGTAAAGTAATATGGATAATCCTTATGTGTGCTTATATATTACACTGCTTACTTAAAAATATTTAAAATAAACAAGTTTTAAAACAAACTGGCTCTAATTGAAAAAAAAATCTTTACCTCAGTAGCACAGTAAAATACACTTCAAAAATTTACGCAGTTAAATCTAAATCATAGATGAATAAAACACATTCGAACACAATCTATCGAAAGTATATAAAAGAATTTTAAAGTACCAAATTCATGAATTCGGGTGAACAATTCTAAAAGAGCTTGAAGGACTTTGATGAACTAAAATAGGAAGTGCTTTTCCATTTGATGTATACGAGAGAAGAGAGTATTTTATCAAAAGTTTTAGTCAATCCCATTCACTTAGTTTTCAATTTCAAAGTAATGAAACGTCTTTTGGATTAATTTGGTAAAGTGCTTTTAAAGTACGCTTTATTTTGAAGATCACAGAATTGATTCAATGGAATTGGAATTGATACTTTGGTATGAGCACAATAACGCACTTAATAACTTCCTTAAACATAGATTCTCCGAAGAACCTTAGACTGATGTTATAGTTGTGGATAAGCCTGCTTAAAAACTGAAGTACCCTGTGTAGAACTTTTCTTGAATATATTATTGATTATTGCCAATAAATGCTCAAGGAAATGTGTATTTTTGTTGGAAATAAACCTTCAACCCTCTATTACCTCAATTTTCTGTCTCACTTGAAATTTCATATATGATGTATTTCCGACAAGTGAAGTATAGGGAAATCGAGATGTTATTAATAGCCGCTATTGAAAGTGCCTCATATAATTTGCATAAAGTTTTAAATAAACTTTCTTTTACCTATGGCATCGCTTAAAGGCAAGGGATCTGCTTATTCTAAAGATTTATTATTATGACTAGTTTTAAGTTGTCTCTCTTTACGATTTAATGTTAGATTAATATTTTTACGTTTTAAGGATTTAAATTTTATTTTAATGTTAATAAATTTAATGTTTTGAGTTTTTCATATTTTGATTTATGGATTTTGAGTCTCTGAGTAAATTATTAAGGATTAATTTCATTAGAATTCGCATCAATTTTCAGCTTTCCACCACTGTCGTCTTTTATTCTTATGTAAAATATCTAAATTTTTTAACATAATTTGTTCTAGGAACATATTTCTACAATTTTTAAAAGAACAATTTTTGTTTGTGGAAATTTTCGAGTTTTTATAGCTGAAGTAACAGCCATTTAAGATTAATATAGTTTGATTTACTTCAATTATAAATTACTTTGGGATATCTAAAGCTATATGTGATATACTTAGTTGAATGAACGCTGTTTTTTTCCAGAAAATATTAATATTTTAGAAAAACCAAGGTTCTATGTGATTTTGAACAAAACTCAGTAATTTTTCATTAGAATTTTTTTTCAATGACGTTTCGTTCCAGTACATTCAACAATGTGGTTATAAATACTGGCAAATATGAATTCACTGAGGTATATGCTGTTAAATACATGAAATGATATACTAGAAAGAATACGTAACTTTTGTTTCATAACATTAAAAAGCATTTATCTTCGAGCCATTTGATTTATTACGAATTTTATAACTGATGCAGAATATATTATTCCATCATTTGCAATCAATTATTTGCTCGCAGAATGGTTTTCTTACTGATTCGTACATTTAAGAACATAACTTCACACCATAATTGCTATTGTATTATACAGTTATATTCGAAAAAAACTCTATAGTACCTCTGAAGATTCGTCGTGTAAGGAGAGTTTTGAGGTTCAAATGTCCTCTCGTGGTGTGGTGTGGAAATGAGGAGAGGGGATTTCAACTCAGGTGTCGTCTTCGTCACTTGACCATAGTTCAACATTACGAGGTCCGTCACCAAAAGCTTTCAAGTAACTGAATTGTGCGACGTTAATACTCACTCACTGGAAAAGAACTCTGAATAAAAACAGCCAAGAATTTTGCTAGAAAGCATGATACTCATGTATAGAAACTAGAATTTAATCTTTTTAAATAGGATTCATGAAAGATGGTTTGATATGGATTATTAGTTAATAAGAAAATTATTCTATTCAAAATTTGTATTACTTGTTTTTCTAAGCCTTTCATAGCTACTATAAGCTTCTATTAAAACTTTTTTTATATCCACATTTTTTTTATATACAAGATTATTCATTTACATGATAAAAAAAAAGTAAAAACGTAATCTTTCCACGAAATATGTATGCAATTCTTCTTTTTTAGATGCTACTTTTGCTCAGATTTAATTCGTTACTATTTTTGCTTTTTTTTCTGGTTTTACCGCACTAATTTCTCAAAGTTGAAAATGCGGTAGATTTTTTGATATTTTTCTGTTTTGTATATATAATGATATTCTTAGAAGAGAGTGAGAAAATATATCAACATTGTGCATAAAACATATGAGAAGCAGTTTCTGAATTTCTAAATTTGAGAATTGTTAATCAGTTAGTTAAATAAATAAAATAATTTAGCTCCTAGTTGTTTTGTTCAAAAAAACAAACAAACTGTCCCCACAATAAACTGTAGATCGATTTCAATTAATCGAAATTAGGCTATGCTTCATAAAACTATGCTATGCTTCATTAGGCTATGTTTCAAGATATATATTATATATATATATATATATATATATATATATATATATATATCTTGTTTAAATTTTTCAATCATTAATAAAATACTTTCTATTCACCCATTGAAGTTCAAATACATTTTTTAAAAGTTCTAATGGATGGCACTTGATGTTAATACAGTTTTTTTCATACATTCATTCATCAATTAAATTAAAAAATACATAAATAGTAACAAACACAGAAATAATAGTCCAACAGCATATATAGAAAGGAAGATAATTCGTTGCCTCCACCCTGTAGCTCATTGAACAGCGCGTTGGACATCTAATCCAAATGTCGTGGGTTTAAATCCCACCTGGCTGACCTAGTTTCTGAGAATGTGATTATTTTTTCTATACTTTTTTATTAGAATAATAAAACTTATTTAATGAATAAATAGTAACAAACAAACAAAAATATTCCAACGCCATATATAGAAAGGAAAATGGAAAATTGCTTTTTATTTGTTACTTAATATTGTGAATCGGTCATATGTGTATACATATTTAAATTAATTGTAATTATTTAACGAAAAGTAACTAAAATAAAATTATTCTTTGTTGACCTAAGTAGGAATTGACTTAATTTCTTAAATATTATTTGCTTAAAATATAATAAACAGTCTTAGATATGAAATATGAAAAGAGTTATAGATTTTGCTATTTTAAATCTCAGATTACTACAGGTTGGAGGAAAATTTTTTTATTCAAGTATATTATCAGTTTTAGTTGTTTTTCAATGTTAATGTATGTTTTTAGATAAGATAATTTTTGTGAATTTTAAAATATGTAAAAGTATAATGTATAAAATACGTAATAAATGCATGCAAGATTTAAATATAACATTTAAAATTTAACATAAAGTATTGTAATCACAAATTTTTTTGACAAAAAAATTCACTCTTTTCACACAAATTTCTGATAAACATAAGATAGAAGAATTTTTTTTGCTTAATTATATTATGTGTTGTAAATGTTATTTAATCTTAGAGTATATTTTTTTGAAACAAAATAGTTTTAAAGGTAATGTATTTTAAAATATATAGAAATGTATCCCCCCTACACACAGATATATTAATTCAACAATCCCAAATCTGTGGATTAAAAAAAAACTTGAATTAATAGCATTGGATAATTGAATTAATAGCATTTTTACAGAAGTTCAGAAATTTATTGGTTGTTTTTAAATAGGCCCATAAGCTTTATTTATAAAATATTTCACTTAACAACAAACTTAAGACCTTTTGATCTGACAATGAGTGTTTCGTTACTTGGGGTCTGAGGGGATTTCCAACATTTATATTCTAAAAAAGTAATAAACCCATATTTCTTTGAAATCAGTTTCAGAGATTATATAGCTATGTTTATTGCACAATGTATTTACTAATTGGAGTTTATTTTAGTGCTATTGTTTGACAGTTAAAATAAAGAACCATAATTCTTCGAATAAATTTCGAATTTCTGATGTAACCAAAAAAGACTAAAAAAAACATGCTGATTATGTACTAACAAAAGTAAACTTTAATACTGTTTACTTATGTTGATTGTATGTATTTAAATCATTCCTATATCACATGTACGAGAAGTGGATGAAAAACTTAAAAGATTACATTACATTCAGACGTACATTAAATTGAATGATAGAGTGCATTTTAATTTCTGTAGTGCACGTGTTGTCTTTGTCTGTGAGCGGTAGGAAACATGTTTCGTCCACTGCATTTCATTACGCATATTATCCAAGAAACATAATTAAATATGTTAACCAAGAATTAAAGTGTGATTCTTTAAAGGCTGAAATCTCAATTGATATTTATTTTGAAATCAATAGTTTATTATGAATTACTTTGTATCATCAAAACCTTTGCCTGTCTTTATAACGGGTAATCTAAAAATCTCTTATTCCACTCTTTTAAATGAAAAAGAAATTCAGTAACGTTTCAATTCCAACAATATCTTACCTATGACTAAAATATATAATATTACACATTTAAATATATTTGTGGCAATAGATATTTCAGATTCGCAAGAGAAAAAAAAATTTGACTTTAGAAAAAAAGAGAAATTAAAAAATAATATTCTTTTAGTAATAGGATTTTTTAAACTTAACCCTTGATTTCACTATGTATTGTGTACAGTCTTATTTCTCTAGAGTGGGAGGGGGCGGTATAGAAATATTCACTAGAAAAGGGGGCGGTGTCGAAACATTCACTAGAAAAGGGGGTGGTGTCGAAACATTCACTAGAAAAGGGGGCGATATCGAAATATTTATTAGAAAAGGGGTGCCAGTTCAAAAAAGGTTGTTAACCTATGGTCTAGATTGTTTTCCTGGAAATTAGATATGTAATATTCCACACGCATAGCTAATTCTTTTATACAATATAGTGACATTGTAGTTTGTTAAGCTTATATTTAGTTTTAAAACTGAGTAGCATAAAATATTACTTCAATGGGCAAAGAGATAAATAAACGATGTAGCGGAAGAAATAAAATATATGCTTGTAAATTGCGTTTAATTTGCTTTTGTGTTGAGTTTCAGTATTAAGTATAAATATTAAATAATTGAATTTACTTTAATATTATTTAGTTATCAGGTGATTTTTATGTACTTAATTAACTTTGAAAATTCAACAGGTTGCCAAAAAAGTGTTTTATAACGAGGTCTAACCTCTTATTTTATCTTCTTATAACAACAGGGTCATTAATATTTTTAATCAATAAATAACTGACAGATTTCAATCTCAACGGACAAATTTTAACTATACGTTAGATTAGGAATGTTTGATTTTTTTTGTAGCAATTAATGAAATTGAGCAGAAAATTAAACTTAATTCATATATTATAATACTCCGCATGCATTAAGGAGAAAAGAAATACATTTTAAAAAGGCGATGAATTTTACCTCGTTTGCTCCTCATTAAGCAATTTTGCGTTGACAAATAGTTTTACAAGAAAAAAGATGAAAAAGAAACAAATAACCAATATTTGAGTCTAATGGTGAGGTTCGTAATTAAAAATTAAAAAGTATTAAAAGCTGTGTGTGTGTGTGGTTTCAAATTTCACAGTTTATATAAAAATATTCTCGAAAAAAAAAATTCGTAAGTTGATTAATGTGTATAAAATCTTACAAAATGTGCTTTAATTAGTCACTTTAAAAAATAAAATATCACAAACAGCTGTTTATCCAGGAATTAATAAATTTTTGCGTACGGTTCAGAAGTTAAAGATCCAGAACTCAGTTTGATAAAAACTAATAATTAAGTCCTTCATAACATTAAATTTAAAAATTAAAATATAAATTTTTTCGCTTACGTTTCTTAAATTCTTGAAAAACATCGCAGCTACATTGTTGGATATATTTTTCCTCATCTTTGTTACAGTTATATATACAAACCAAAGCATATCATTGAAAAAAGCAAATTTCATTAAGATTGCAAAAATATATACCTATTTACCTAATTGTGTTTGTATGTCTAATGAATGTTTAAAAAGATTTAAGAAATAATTTTATTAAAAATTGGTATTTTTTATTTAAATAAAAAATATTGAATATAAATTACGAAAGAAACATCCTATAATTTGGGGAATCATGGTCAGAAGGACATCACTGCATTCTGTTTCTTGCTTACATAAAAATAATGCTCATTTTGAATATTCATGATGTAATTATGAATATTCAAAATGATATCGTGATTCTCATATCAGATGACGATATAAAAAGAAAAGATTAGACATCTGGAATTTCTTCTTTTGGAATTTAATGCAATTCCAATCGAAATTAATATATATATAGATATAAAAAGAGAGATTTTGCCCTTTAAAATTAAATTAATTTTATTTTGTACAGTGTTATGAAATGTTAATATATTCAAACGGTTTGATTTTAAAGTAAGCATTTCTTATGCTACAATTTTCTGAATTTTATTTACATTTCATGATTCAGTTTTGCTACGAAATAAAAAAAAGGAAATCTATATAGTCTCAAGATTATAAATAATAGTATTTAAAAAAAATTTAAGTACACATTTGGTTAGGATTGTTATAATTGCGAGTCACAATAAAAATGATTAACGAATCAGCTTAAGTAAACGATAAATTAAATTAGTGTGATTGGTTGTTTGTTATTTTTGGTATGGGTTTTGATTCAAGCTATTTTTTATATTTTCCCTTGGAATTTGTTTTAGAGTTATTATATATGAACCAATATAATTCTAAAGCTTTATCTGCTAGATTACCTGTGCTGCTAGGTTACCTAAGTTACCTGTTGTTTCGCGGTTTATGGGGGGAAAAGAGAAGGAGTTTTTTTTCAACCTTAAATATTCTTTACTTTCACTTTAAAAATAGAAAAAGATAAAATAATAAAACCAAAAATACAACATTTAATGTTTAGAATGACAATACAATAAAAAAAATTATTACTTATATCTGTTGTGCGATATATCCTTAAACATGGTGAGCACAAAAATCAGCATTCCATTCAGTTCATTGATAGCGTACAAAGATACCAAATTATCAGACTTATTCGTACTATAAAAATTAAAAAGCTCCTACTACACAAGGTAAGGGAAAAGGAGAGCAAATAAATTATAGAAAAAAAGCACACTCAAAAGGAAAAACAAGAAACACTGCTTAGTTATGAAAATTTCATAATTCCTGGAATATATACCCCCTTTCAAATTTCTTTCTTACCTCTTCTCCGAAATAAATAAATTTTTAGAAGCACAGCCAGTGTCATTTTATTGTATTCCAAAGCCGTGGCATTAGTTTTAAACAGATGAGCACAATTCAAAAGGTCTTCCTTTGAAAGAATGAGTATACACGTCCAGGGCACTAAAGGCACAAGCTCAACAAGGCGTGTATACACACCTGCGGCTCTTAAGGGGTTAATATTTATCGAATTAAAGACATTTCTTAAGCTGTCTTATATTAATGTAATAAGTATATATATATATATATATATATATATACAGAGAGAGAGAGAGACAGAGAGAGATTGTATTGTATGAAATCTCAAAAACTATTTAAATAAGAATTAAAGGCGATTTTCTTGAGAATTTTGGGCACTATAAAAACTTAACTCACGATCTTTTTTAAATTTAGGAGTCACATATTTCCAGTTGTTTACTTTGATGACGTAATTTAAAGTTTCTTTGTAAATTTTTAAGATGTCTCATGAATTGAAACCTACACTCTTGGGATTCCGTTGATTCTTAATTTAGTACTTCACTTTATTGGTAGCTAGACGCCGATATTCATGTGCTATGAATATCAAATAAAAAAAAAACATTTTTTGAGATTCGTTTTAGGATTTTTAAAATTCTGTTTTCA